AGGCGAACTTCTATATCAAAGTGAAATAAATTTTATCAATTTAATTTTAAAAACGTTCAACCATTTTCAGTTATAATTGATTCTTTAATTTTAGACGCTGATTGATTTTGTAACGTGAATTGTTCATTTATTTACAATGAGTGAATTACTTTTTATAAGATTAAATGATATTTCAACGAAATAAAACGCGTATGTACGTTCGCGCAGGCTTGCGTCATAAAAAACTCAACAGCCGCGATAGCCGGGCATCGCAAATTAAAAGACGATAAAGCGGTCGAAAGTAAATCCTGGCCGTGGCGTAACGAGAACGAAAAATAAAAGCCAAAAAACGAGGATAATGGGGAAGACAGGTGTCGGCGTTAAGCTATCATCCAGCGAGCCTTGAGCTCGCGCGCTTTTATTTATGGCGCATCTCAGAGATCGAAGCTTCTCAACGAGCCACTGAACTCGGAAACGAGAGAAGGGGTTGCCGGCCTCGTTTCCTTTCGCGTGTGTGCATGTGCATGCAGCGGCGGCTTTTCTCTTTCTTTCTTCTTTCACTCCCCCTTTGGCGAGTGGTGGCGTTTTTATAGAGAGAAAAAAAAAAAAAAGAAAAAAAAAACTAGGCTGAGTGTTCTTTTCTCGGATAGGAGAGGAATTTTTAATATAGCTCTTGTGCGCATCATTGTTGTGCTTCTTTCCCTCTTTGCTTTTGGCAAATTGATGCGAGTAATCCCGGAATTAGAAATTTAATTTTTCTTTCAGTTTTCTCTTGGTTATGTGTCAGCAGTACTGGTTGCCTACTGCTCCGTGAGCTAACTTTTTCTCTGGCGACAACGCGGCGCGATGCCAAATGTATATTTTTTTACTACTTTCTCTCTCGTGTGCGCTTCGATAAATTAACACAATATAGCCAAGAGCAGAGCACTACAGTTATCGGAACGATTGAATGTCGCTGCGCCATGCGATTGTTTTCTGTTTCAGAATTGTACGCTCTTGTGTTGTACAATTACGCGGCAGTTTCTTTTTTCGCACTGCTTTTCGAATAGAACGACCAAGATATTCAATGGGAAACACAGTCACGTCTCTAAAGAAGCATAGTTTACCTCGCACTTTCCCTCCTCTCCCCTCTCGCACTAGAGATCATAAGGAATACGTATTACGAAGAAGAAGAAAAAGAAGAAGGATGTCGGCGAGAGCGCATCATCGAGCCACGAACAAGACTTCGCCATTAGGAACGCTGGTCTTTTAATATTCCGCAGTGCATCTTCGCCGCTTGTTCTTCTCTCGAGTATCTTCGTGGATAATATCGACACGGCGCACCTTCTTTAAGAATCCAGTTGACGCTCATTTTATCCTTTGGGGTTGAAAAAAAAAGATAAAAACGCGAAGCTTTCTCCTAAAAAGAGCTCAAAGCAGAAATGAAACGCACGGTTAAAACTCGTCGGCATGGGACAGTCCGCGTTCGCTATCAACCCTCTGAAAATACAAAGCACGGGTAAAAACGCGGCCACCCCGAAAAAAAAGGGAGAAAGAATACGAAAGCAGACATATTACGTGACGGCTCAGGTGCGCAGATAGGCGCTCATTATACATAACACTCGCTTACCTAATTCCTTCGAGGCTTGCGGATATATCTTGGTGTAGCGATCGCTCAGCAAGCGGATAAGCTGCGAGAGCATAATTTAATCGTTCGTTTCAGGGGAGGGTTAAAGCCACACCAACTCGATGTTAATGCTCGCTCTACTGGATGGAAATGACTTATGCGGCTGGTGTGGCATAAGTTTGTAGCGAGCGCACCGCGCTACATGGGACGTTTAATTGAATTCAGTGATTGATTGTGCGCGAGTAAACGTAGCGTTGACTTTCACGTAAACACCACGAATGATGCTCAACTGGCGACCAATTCGTTCGAACTAGCTGATCTATAAAGCGTGCTAGGCGCTTGTCACACGTGCTATAAGTAGAAAATGACAGTGTTTGGTCAGACGTAGCGCGAGAGTTTGGAAAGCAAAAGTCGAGCAAGGATTGTTGCTCGTCAAAATACGTGCTCCTCGTGTACTTATTTATCAGCCTATAAAACGGCTGTAACTCGAGATGTGAATAATGACTTTCCCAGTTGAAAGCTCAGCCCGTAGCCCCATATTTAAACTGCTTTCAGCTTTACAGCGTACTTCACCCGTAACCGTTTAACTTTACACTCTGCCGCGTGGGTAAAGGAGAAAGAAACTTCGCGACGGGCGGTTGTTGTCACGGGCTGAATTTCGCACGCAAAGCGCCGGCCTCGGCATTAACGTTGCTCGAGAAATCCACGAGAAAAGCCGTCGTCGGGACGTCGCCACTTAGACGTAGATTCTGCCTCGGCAAAATCGAAGGGGAAAATGTGCGGAGCGTGACGAGCACGCGTGGTGGCAAGACATAGTACAGCCACAGCAGAAGGCATCCAGGGAGTGTCCCTCACCCCCTCGTGGTCGCTGCTGCTGCGCTTCCCCGGCTGCAGCAGCAGCAGCAGCAGCAGCAGCAGCGTGCGAGGTGAACAACCCCGACTGACCCAGACTCCGAATCGATCTCGCTCTCGCTCTTCTGTGAAAGTGGAGGGGGGAGAGGGTGACGGCCGGGCACTGCCACCGCGTAACCTCAAAAATCCGCCCACGTCATCGTGTACGCTTCCTCCCCCCACCGCCCCCCGCCCCGCCGGTCTATATGTGTCGAGATATGCGCTTCTTTACGTATGAATGCACATTTGCGAGATTTATATTGTTAGCTAGACGCGCGTCCGGCTTGCTTTTTCTATTTTTAATGAACTGCTCCACTTGTCGCGCTCGAACGAGCTACGACATTCCGTGCGCACAGAGTAAACACATGCGCGCACATCGATTGCTCGTTCTTACCGTTTTTCCTTGTTGCTGGTCGAGCGTGCTCCACTGTGTTGCATTTCGAGGACGCGCAATCCCGTGCAGTGCGGTCTCCGGCTCCGCCGCCAACTTTGCTCATATTCCAGCTTCTGTAATAGGCCGAAGGGTCGAAGGGTCGCGCGCGTGCAGAACAAACGACGAAGGATATAGATGCTCGCTTTACTACTGTTCGCTGGATAAGCTACAATGCCCAAGAAAGGGAACACTTTCGTGAATTCATTTCGCGCAAGCCGCCCCGATGAAGTACGCGCTTATATCATCTCGTCCAACGCCGAGTCGAATTCAAAAGAAAGAAGAGGAAAGAAATAAAACAATAAAAACGTCGAACGGGAAAGCTGCTTGGCATTCGATGCCAAACAGGGACAGCCTGTTTACTCGGAGCGAGCACGAATCGGGTGCTTATTTACGACTCTTACCCGTCGCCTTCGACCTTTTTCTTGCATTTAATAGAAAAATCAAGAGAGCGAGGGAGAACTTACGTTCGCGTGTGCAGTTTAAGTGATGGAGTCGTGGGGGTAACGGCCGGGCAGTGCCACTCTGTAACCTCAAAATCCAAGCGTCGCTCTCCATCCCACTCGGCTTACATACGTATACCTATATATATACCGTGCAGTTCGGGAGGGAGAAACGAAAGTTATGGAAATTTTATGGGATTTTTCGATGGTTTCAGGCAGAAGTAATTACAGCCTACAGAGTAAGTTAATGATTGAATTATTGGCGGTTATAAAACATTAAAATTAGTAAAACGCTCATGTAAATAGAGTTGAAAGTTACCCTTTATCGATCATATGCTACGAATATTGGGTTTTACTGATTCTGAAATTGAAACATGATAGGATTATTTATCGCATTTTTGACAAGCTTTCTACGTAAGACTCAATATTGAAGCAAACTTCAACGATCAATTATTTGAATTTCAATATTGAATGTCATAAAATTACTGAATAATGTGAGCATTTTATCCGAATTGAACAGCATCGATTCACTTCTAAGATTAAACGGTCGAATAGCGTTAAATATTTCGATACCGAAAAAAGCAGGCAATTCAGCGCGCTTTCATGCCAGGTATGTCGCTGAAAATGGGCAATCCATTAGAATGAAAACCGATTTTCATTTTGACAGGTTTATTTGCACACTTGAAGCCCGTGTGGGAAGCGCGTGGATATGGCGAAAGTGGATGCTGACGCAGCACATTTTATACGCTGCCGATGCAAAAGAGTTCCGAGAGAGAGAGAGAGAGAGAGAGAGAAGGATGGTATTAGAGATAAATTTATACGTTTGTAGATTCGTCGTCGTCGAGGTTTCCATTGCAACGCGCGGCTTTGGCGCTTTGTTACTCGCTATTGAGCTGGGCAGCATTGATTTTCGATAACATGCACACTTAGCCGCAGTAATAAACTGACTGCCAAGACGTACCGCGGCACAAATAGACTTTGAAACACATATGTACGTGCGTTGCTGCTTTGTTCTAGATTGCCTCTACTGTGCGTCAATGGATGTTGCGTTATTATTCTCAGTCGAGAAATTCAATATCAAGGTGCTCGGTACTGATTTTATACATCGCTCGCAGTATCGTGCGACGGCCTATAGAACTATTAGATTTATTGACTTTTTTTAATAATTCATGCTCAAGTGATTGACTCTTCCATTGTTGGTTACACGTCTGGTATTAGGGAAAAGTACATCATTGTGATATTTGATTACTAAAATGCATCAATTACATCAAGCCTAGCAAAATTTGTTTTATAAAACCGTTATTTTCTTGAAAATTTATCGAAAGTGAGATGAAAATGTTGAATTAATATCGTATACAAATACGTAATTCTTAATATTAAACGTGAAACAAAGATAATTTATTATAGTAAATTGATAGATAACATTATGACAAATAATTGATAGCCAACAAGGTAATGTTCTTAAATTTAAACGTTTAATATGACGTCATCCATAAGAAATACATTGTCATCAATCTTAAACACTTCTAAACGTTTAAATTTAGTGACAATGTATTTATTATGGGTGACGTCACATTTGCACATGTAAAACGTTTAAATTTAAGCACATAGGATTTTGAGGTTTTACCGTGAAACCATGAAATAAATGACATTTTAATGTGATGCTATTTTATTACGTGTTTCGTTACTCAGACATTTTGTGTTTGTCATTGGAAATCTTTATTTCTACCCTGTGTGAGCTATTCGTTTCCACTGACACATGCAATCGTTACCACTACAGAAACCGCTGCGGTATCCATTTGCCGGGCAAAGTTTGTCATTGCAATATGTTTCATCGCAACCTGCTTGACCTGCAAACAAAAATTCATAAATTTTAACTGAATCAACTTTGATTTCTTTCGAAGACAAATAATAATTAACTCGTAGGTTTTTTAAGAATTCTAAAATCTGTTGTACATTTTCTATTGCGTATAATGAGTTCAATACCGTAAACTATTGTAATAAAAAACCAAAGATGATATAATACTTGATAAAAGTATTGTACCGGATTTGTGTGCGAAAAAACTATGATTTTTTCACCATACTTAAATCTATTCACACTACTTTTAACATTCTGAATAAAAAACAAACTTCTACTCTATTTCTTCTTTTTTCATGAACCCATCAAGTATTCAAGTGCATTCCAAATCCAAAATAATTATAAATTCAATCAACCTTTCAGAATGTTTTGTGAATATATTAACAAAGTAATGGATTTATTTTTGTTACTTCATAAAGTTAATTTTCTTACATACTTACTAGTATACCGAAAAGAAAAAAAAGAACCAAGTTTATTTTTTCAAATTGTTCAATTTTAACAAAGCTTACTTTCTACGATCATCAATACTACGATGAGTAAAACGAGAAAATAGATCTTCATTATGAAGACTCGGCTGCCAGTTTAGTTTACAGTAGAATAGGTAATGATGAACTGAAGCTCAGGAAAGTGAATCGGTCTTGTATATTCTTGTCAGAACATAATTAAAAAAATGGGGAACAATTATTATAATTTCTGTATTTTCTTTTGCATCAAGAAAATGTTTTGTTATCGAAAAAACACGCGATAATTCTAATAATTTACACCGCAATAATTAGATGATTTCAATATAATAAGAACATACGAGGTTTTATTAGTAAAAATTAATTGTAAATCATGAAAGGAAATAATATGTAAGCTACCTAAGTGCTTCCATTCCACGAGGACACCGAACAAATTTTAGTTCAATTCATACAGATGGTATTGAAAGTAGTATTTGTAATAAATTTACTTTAAAACTACAAGTAAGTCAAAAGTTACAATTAAGTGTAAACAAAGGAATTTCCGCATCAAGAAATTACCTAATAATGATAGTTGATCGCCCTTATTTAACATCAATTTCAATAATTAGTTTATATTATGGAAATTTCCTTATTATATTTACGTTGGTAATTTTTGAGGATGAGCATTGTACTAATAATATTTTTGACGAGTTCGATAATTTTTTTAGATAATTTTAATGACAGCGAAAAAATATTTTAATAGCGATAATAACTAAGTATTATTTTTTATTAAATAAAAATGTGCTACATCGTTTATATTATAAATATCGAATCAATAGAAGAAGCCATTCTAAATTTGACTTTCTATTTGGATTTGGACATTATTTATTGTCATTGTTTAATGCAATAATCCATATCTTGTTACTGTATTCTATGATTGATTTTCATTCATTTTCCACATAAAATTGCAACAAGATAAAAGGAACTTCCGTTGTCGTCGTTTCATACATCAATTCTCCAAATGGTGCAAGTGCATTCAGCGTAAACGCGTTGTATGCGATCAGAGATTACATCGATAAAAACAGATAGTCTTGTCAACTACCGAAAAGTGCCAAAATTCATGACAATATCAATGTGCGCTCGTCGTGGTCGTAATCACAAAGTCACCACAAACAAACGCAGCACTTCCAACCTCATCGCCGAGCAATCAATCGAATCGCGACCTCAACCATAACTCTCTCTACCTCTCCCCCTCCCCTTCACTCACTCTCTCTCTCTCTCCCTCTTTCAGTCGGGCGTCAATCGCAGGAGAAAACGCCATTCGCAGATGCTCACGTGCACACCACGCGGCAGCTAGACGTAGCAACCCCCGTGGTTGTGCAGGGGGCTTCACAATTGAACTTCGAAGTGTGCAGCAGCAGGAGCAGCGAATCAATCTGCTGATTTATGAGCTCTTTTCTGCGCGCGATACGATTGTTTCTCGCTCAAGAGAGTCGTTCTGGGTTCTTAATTGAAGTGCCGCAGATGGATATACGTGGGAATCGTCGTTACTGCACGGGGCCGCTTTACATGCATCGCGGCCATGTGGTTTTCTCGTTTGGCTGGAGATTATGGAAAGAGCGAGAGCGAGTTGAGTTAATTTTCAGTGGATGTATACGCTCGTGATGGGAAAGTTGCATTGCAAGTTTAATGCCCGTAGTAGAGGTACGACTGGTTGCATGTACAGAGATGGGTTATGCGCTTATAAAGGGATGTTTTTGGCCTTTGAAGTTTATGTGCGCGAAATTAATTTTGCGTACGTCATAAACGTCATAAAATGCTTTTCAAATTTGCGATCAACGGAAGCTTCAATGCAAACGAAGATTTATACACGAGTGGCAGGTTTATTGAAAAGCGTTCTTCACATTTTCATCAACAATGTTATGTTATGTGACCTGAATAAGCGACACTAACCCTAAACATTTCAATTATACAATGTGAAAATCGACATTAAACCGGCCCCGAAATTCGTCCTCGAAATCACCTCGATCCGCGGCGAGTTGCCGGGAGAAATTACCCGTCAGTCGCAGTAGTGGAGCTCTGTCGAATCGATTTCTTTCTTTTTTGCCAAACGAAAATTAATGAACGAGCCCGAGAGCTAACCGCCCCCCCCCCCTTCTCAACTTCTGCTACTGCGTCCCTATTGAGACGACGCAGCCGTTTGCATGCATGCGGCGTAAAATCGTCTTTCAGAGGGGAATGGAAAAGTATACTCGTTGGCGTTATAGGTGTTTTTGGAGACCTATGAAAAGAAAATAAAAATAGCAAGTTTTGTAAGTCGCTTGAGGATGTTTAAATCATTTTTACGACTGAAGCTTCATTCAGCACTCGCAGTGTAGAAATCATTTGTTATCGTGAACTTTTTTAATGGACCATTTCTTTTTCTCAGATTGATCAATCGTTAACTTTCAAGATTTCATGATGCTCTTTGCTCAGGGGAAAAAGTATTGTTAATCATTCACTACAGTGGAAGTTGATAAATAGCATACTGATTCGAGTCAGCAGAGTAGAGACATTTTTGAGCAAAGTTGTTCGATGCAGAGAGTAAAATCGTTTATTGACAATTTATTTTCCTCGTTCCAATTATTCAAAAGAGAGAAAGAGAGAGAGAGAGAGAGAGAGCCTCTCCCACCTTCCCAAAATAAACTGAAAACGGAAAGCCAAGAAAAACTAATATCAATCAAAAAGTCTTGATCAGCGAAGGCGCTGGCGGGGTTAATAAGCAGCGTGGCGTCAAAACTTTTTAATAACCCGGCAAAGTTTGATTTCCCGCTGGCCAGTGAATAAACGAAAGATGTTTACCATGCAAGTTTCCACGACGTTAAAACCAGAGGCAAAGGGAGAGAAAAAACTCTCTTTTCGCCTGCACTTCACCGTGGTCCCCTTCGACTTGGTCGAAGCTTTCACGCCCACGTACGTTTTGCTGCGTTCCGAGAATGATTATCACAGATGCTAAGCGTGAAGTCGCTTGTTCATGCATTGTTGATTACACTGTTGACCAACGAGGTAGGTGCCTCAGTAACAAGGGAGACGAGGTACAAATTTAATTTTACTTAGTTTGATTATATCGCAAGTCTAGTTAGTCAACAGTCGTAAATTATAATTAAAATAGTTTGTTACGAATTTTGAGTACTTCTCAGTCTGGCGTTTTTTTTATGAGTAATTATGTAATGTTAAATTTCAATTCAAAATAACGTGGATATTAACAGTTATTTATAAGAAAAATACATATTATAGTGATGGCAACAGCTCTCCTTTATGAAAAATGTACAATACAGAAATTAAAAATTTCCGAGAATGGAAAACAAATTCAAAATACCTCAATAATTTCCAGCGCAAAAAATTATTAAACTGCTCACCAAATGAAAAAAAATGTAGTGGGAAAGCTGCATGCTGAAGCTTTTCTGGAGCGTTCAGTTCGCGAAAAAATCGTAACAGCGAGAGCAGCAGCAGCAGCAGCAGCAGCAGCTCGAATCTCGCGGGCGCGCAAGTCGCGGAAAGGAGGACGAGGGTGGGAGTCGTGCATTCACCCCTCGGCTATTGGTGGGGGCTGCAGAGAGCGAGAGAGAACGCGCGAGCGGCCTCACCCGTTTCCTGCAAAAGGTCACGTACCCGCCCCGAGCAGAGCGTTCACCTCGCGTCCTGGGCCGACCGGAGCTTTTGTTCGCGTTGCCGCTGGTGTTATAAGGCATTGCCATGTTCGACACCAAAAGAAGTCTTCGTATCTCGTGCGTTCCGTGACTTTGATTCGATGAGTTGTACGATGAAGAGGCATGGCATTTTTGTCATTCCCAGTACGAGTTTTAACAAAATTTATTCGGCTAGACTGACATTTATATGCATTAGGTTGTCCCCGGCTTCCTTGCGAACTTTATCGCAGTGCGCTGGACGTTCGTGTTGAGTAAAAGCTTTTATTTTCATTGTTTGCCCTACGACCACGACACAAGTACAATGTAATACAAATTGTAAACTGTACTTTGAGCTTTCAAACGAATAAACAATTCAAGAACACCTGTCACTCGTAATTTTCATGACTTATTATCCGCTTAATGTATTTAATTCGTTTGTTTCCAAGCAGATAAAAAGTAAATTATATATTCATACCGCAAAAAATAAAAACACTAGTTTTCCTTGAAGTTTTAATAAATACTCGCTTATTAAACTCGACTATTGTCGTGGAACATAGGACACAAAATAATTTAAGGAAAAAATAGCTTCTGGAATAAGAACCGAGCCTCACGCCAATTTTGCAATATCGATCTCCTATTAATTGCATCCAATTATGCCAAAAGGTCATCAAGGAAAACAAATGCGAGCGACGCAGCAACGCGTTCCCACGTTATCGCCGTTCACCTTCGTAACAGTGTCTTCGGGGCCGACGTTTGGATATTATTCAAGGTGTGTGCGACGGCTACGACAGAATTCTGAAATAAGTGCAATGTGGTGTGGCGGCGACCGCATACGCGAGTGCACTTTAGGGCGCGCGGTCAATGAGAATCGACGGCTCCTTGGCGCGATCGATGATGCAAAAGCGAGATGGAAAGGCGCGGAAACGTTCGATGAAACGTTACGACGAGAAAGTTTCCTGACAATTATTCCGAAGTTGAATAAACCTTTGCTTCACTTTGCTTCTACCGTGCAGTCAAGTCCAACTTTACCTTGGTAACATCTACGCGCGAGAGTTTCACAACTTCAACACAAAGCGCAGCATCCATTTGAAAATGTCAAAGTAATGCCTCCCGATACTCGAGCATCTTTCAGTAGATGTCCTCTCGCGAGCTATGTCGCATAATTATTTTCTCACGGGCGCATGATAAATGCAGCTCGCCGAGGAAAATTGTCGGGTGTCCAGCAAGCTGAGAGTCCGCCTCGATGATCTTCGAAGGCGTGACTGAGAACCGACTCCCGGAGATACAGCGGACAACTATGAGGGAGAGAGGTGTGTATAGGTGTACTTCTGTGGCGCTTTCCCCTCGAGGGCGTGCGTTTGTTGACGTTTTGTCTGCGGCAAATGCGATGGAGAAACTCGAGGGTTGGCCGTCGCGCCGAGGGAAAATATGGATGAGTGCTGCTACTGCTGTTGGGGTGTCGCCGTCACTGACGTCGCTATGGGGGAATCTGCCAAAGAGCTTGCGCGGCGACAAGCCTATGGTTTAAACATTAGCATTAGGACCATAGGGTGGTGCGGAAAAGCGGAGCTGTTAACTTTTTTTTTGGAAACTTTTCACTGCAGACGATTGTAAATGAAACAATGCTGTTCTGCTTAATATTTAAATGAAAATTAAGACTAATGATGTTTTATCGCGATTTGAAAAATTTTTCGTTGGCCTTTTTTAAGTGTTGATTATGTTAACGTTTACACAATGCATATGTTGCAATTAAAAAAATCATTAGTTTACTTCATCACTTTACTTTAAATAATATGTTATTCGTTACTCACGAATTATACAGATCACGCAATTTTGCGTACTATGGTTGCATAAAGGACCGTGATTTTTTTGTCTGTAGAACGTGCATCTAACAATTAGAAATTTAAAATGGTAGATTCGCACTGCAGCCTTGTAGATGTCAGCACAGTACAGCTCCAGCAACGATACCGACAGTAGTTACGGACAGATTTTGGAGTAAGAGATGCCACAGTTGATCGCGTGGATCGCTTCACATTGATTCGACTTGTTGCCGGCAATTGACGATTGATTCTCAATAACTGGCATTATTAGAGTAGTTAAGTAATTTGTTTGAAAAAACTGGAATTGTTTATACTTCTACTATGTAATTGTGTTTCATAAAGTTATTTATTAGATGTAGAGCAATATTTAAAAAGTTGTAAAGTAGAAGTCAAAGTAACTCATAATGTTTCCTATTAGTTACTGTTGTCTATCCGCTATGTTAGCTAATGCGTTCTACGGTTTTGGAGTTTTCTCAGCACTCATGCTTGGCTTGATTGCTTTATGCTATTCGCATAATTTTGTCAAAAAACAATTGACAAATATTAGTAACAAAGAAGTTTTAAACAAAGGAAGGCTATTCAAGAGGAATGTTGTTGTAAGTATATATTTAATCTAATCAAACACTTTCCAAAGGATTATAAGTTGCGATTTGGTTCTACTAAATATGTTATAGACTTGTTGTCATTGATTTTTTATCGATGTAATTATAAATTGCGATAATTAAATTGAGGTTATGTCCAGATACCTTGATTTGGATATATGGGCACAGGCTGATACTCCACTCGCTCATGTTCTCCGGATACCTTTTTTAAATAAAATATATTTAATTCATACATTTTTTAACTATTCCCGGTTAAGCACCTAATGTATTATTGTTAATGATATTCCATATTTATTAAATGTTTAATAAGCATTGTTATGGAAATCCAATGATCCGATGTTATTTGTTATCGGATAAGTATTTTGCTGCCGTACGAAGTGTTTACGGGAGTGATGTCCTTCCCCCTCCACTCCTATCAATGTCTGTGTGTGCATCTATGTATACTCTTTTATGTATTGACTAACGTGATGATACGATGGAATATAATTTATCAGCAAGATTCAAAGTTGCTGAACTTGAAACAAAATGTATACATTGTGTAAATCTATTACAATAATTCTTGATTATTACTAAATTTTATTCTAATTGCGTTAGTAAGCATGTTATCCCTTTAAATTATTAAATATCGAAATGTTTAGAAGTTGTTGAAAATATTCCGTGATCCTATTTTAAAGAATTATAACTTTGAATGCATAATATTGAATGTAATCATTCATGTTTGAGATATTCATTTATTAGATAATGTTACCTGGAAATTCTAATTACACGTGAATTTGTAGAAGACAAAGCAAAGTAATTCCAGATACGAAAGCTAATAAGTACAAATGAGTCCGCTTTATTTGTTAAAACTGTTAGATAAAAAGATGTAATTTTGTCATAAGAGGAACTGATAAGAGCTTTTTTTGCAGCGTGCTAAAAAAGTACTTTTCTTCGAGTATAAAAGTATTTCAATTTACAACAGCCCTGCCAATCCTGTGTTCAGACGAAAATAAAACAAAAAAAAATTTTGATTCTAGATAACAGGAGGTTCGAGTGGCATCGGTAAGAGTTTCGCAATTTTAGCAGCAAAGGAAGGAGCGAATGTAACAATAATCGCTCGAAATTGGGAAAAACTCGAGCGAGCGAAAGAGGAAATAGTGAGCGCATGTCGTAACAAAGACAGTCAAAAAGTGCAGTGTGTGTCTCTGGATGTAGGCCAGAACTACAATCAGATCGAGGGTGTATTTACAGAAATGGAGGAACGTCACGGACCCATTTACATGCTCGTCAATTGTGCCGGCACGGCTATTTGTGGTAGAATCGAGGATACCAATCCGGAATCACTCAAGCTCATGATCGATTTGAACCTAATTGGTAGCTACTATTGTTCAAAGGCTGTCGTGCCAAAAATGAAGACTAGGAAGGAGGGAAAAATCGTGTTGGTTTCGTCGCAAGCTGCACTATTGGGTAAGGCTTTAAAAGTTTTGAAAGTATGTTTAGATTATAGATAACAAATTATTTATGCAGCAGCAAATATAAATGTGAACTGTAATTTCGCATTGAGTTAGATATTAACTTCCTCTACAATTCTAGAAAGATATAATATGATTACGTATAAATTTTACGCTATATTTGTAAGTGAATCTAAAGATTCATTTATATTTTGTAGGTATTTTTGGACTATCTGGTTACTGTTGTACAAAGTTTGGATTACGAGGCCTTGCAGAAAGTCTATCAATGGAATTAACTCCTTACGGTATTTCAGTTACCCTATCGTTACCTCCAGACACTGACACTCCAGGATTACAAGTTGAAGAACTCACTAAGCCTCTAGAATGTAAACTAATTTCTGCAAATGCCGGACTAGAACAACCAGAAGTGGTTGCACAAAAAATGTTAAATGACACTATGGTAAGTGTTTTTAAAATCAGTTTTTTATGATACGTTTTATTATCAAGAAAGGGTAATCATTTATAATTGGTATTTTAGGATAATAAATTCTTCTCGTTTGTTGGAATGGAAAGCTTTATTTTAACAACTTTGTGCACTGGAATGTCGCCTTACGCTTCTCTCGGCGAATTACTTCTCCAAGCTTTGTTGATGGGTCCACTTCGCATAATCAGTGCCTTCTATCTATATTCATTTAAGAACATTGTGAAAAATTGCATGAAAGAGAGAGAAAGTCAGAAAAAGTCAGAATAATATTGTTATTTAGTACTTAAAAAATACATTTGTAATTATTTTATACAACCTTTTTATTATCCGATTTTGCTACGTGATTTCATACATAGTAGGCTGTATCAGATATGATATCTATTTCGTTATAAATAATCTACCATTTTTATTATATAAGATATGTATAACTATTTTACGTTTACGTCCAGTATTGCTGATTGTGTAGTATTGATATTCGGAGATAATAGTTAAAATAGTTAATCATCTGATGACAAGTTACTGTAGGAAAGTAGGATTGGAATAAAAAATACTTTTACAATGAACAGTTTGTTTTACTTTTATTTAGTATCCCGTAAGTTCATAGTATAACGTTCTTCATTAAAGCTGTATGATTGTTACACACATAGAACGGGAGCGCTCTTATCGTCCCTTCGCCAAAAAGTTTCTCATTTTACTCATTTTATTTTTTCTTCTTGCTTAAAACGTGAACGCAATTTGCCGAGGATACGTTTGCGCAAAGGAAAACGATGTCAAGCATCTGGGTCGTAAAATACTCGTTCGAGTTCTCGCACAACTTCAAAAGTCTCGAGAAAAGCGAACTTTTGTGTATTTTATGTGTGTGAGTGTGTATGTGTGTATCTGTGTTTTTTTTTATAAAACTCGGTGCCAGAATCAAAACGCTTTTCCTCGCACACAAGACTTTCGTCGCAGTCGAAAGCTCGTTTACATCAAATTGAGTAAAAAGTGTAAAATGGGCATCAAAGTATAAGCTTAACATACGATCGATGAAATGGAATGTATTTTTTTTCTCGTGTATTTTGAGAACATTGCGTGTTATAATATTTATATTTTTTCTATTGTTCTTCGGTGATTGCAAATTTGTTTTCTTTTTTAAAATCATCAGTAACATTTAGTATCATTCGTTCTATTGCTTCCATTTCATTCTTTCGCTATTTCCAGCATTCGCACATTACATAAACTCATTTTCGCACTCATGCTACTTGAATAGCATTTACGCTTTCTCTTTTAATATATAATATATATAATATATATATATCGAATTTTTTGATTCACCTCGAGTCGCATCATCTCGTAGATCCCGAAAATCAGTGTCTTAAAAATCTACGAGACGAGGCTTTATGACATAAAAATGTTTCGTAGATTGAGGTGCGCATCACGTCACTCGTTCGCTCGCTCGACAAAGATCTTCGTATAAGTTCTCCTCCTGCGTGACATCCGGATACGACGGAGAGGAAAAAAAAACCAAACTCGTCGCACGCAAAGCGACAGAGAGTACTTATACATACCGAGTGCGCAGGTGAATTTCAAAGTCGTTTTCACGCGGCAACTGACACGATACAGAAGAAAACGGGATGTCGGAAAGCGAGATTAAAATTCACCGAATTATAAGCTCCTGGCTACGAGTCTGATTTTCCCCCCTTTTTATAATTATCTCTCGTTGTTCGTCGAGCGTTCGAACTCTTGGACGCGAATCTCTTCGAAACGAATTTTACTCGCGATGTAAGCATTTTAAAAGCACAATATCACCCGTCCGCTATAGCTAATCCGTAATCCCGGTGAAGAACGAATGAATTCGATTACGCGCGCGACACGCATACATATTTAAATGGGAATTTCGGTGGCGGGCTTATAGGGAGCGAGCAAGAAAGAAGAAAGCGCGATGTCACCGTATACGTGTGCGAGTGCGAGTGTGCACGGGACGGACCGAGAGCGAAGAAATTCCACGACGCATTTCTCGCACGTCTTCCCGAGAACCTCGCCTTCTTTGCCCTCCCTAGTGCTCGATTGCTTGCGCGACAATCTCCACCTCTCTCGCTCGCACCGGAAAGCGAAAGCAGGTCGAGATGTTGCCAAGCTCGCAAGCTCGACGAAAATGACGTGCGTCTAAGTGCCGACTGACTTCGCTGCACTCCCAGGGATAACAGTTTTATTTCGATCGTGCCGAAAATTGCGCTCTCCACGGGGCATTTACTTTTTGAAAAAGAAATGCTCGTCCTCGAAACGTAGCTTCTGTCGCGCAAGAATAATTGAAACGTTTCTCTCTCGGTCTCTCGCGAGCGCGTGCGGCACCGAAAACTCGGTTCTCAGGAAAAGGTAAACTCTCGTTTCACGCGTAGCACACGCTTTCACGTCAATCTACAGACAGCGTGACTGAAAACCAAAAGACAGATCGTCTGACAATGAATGTTTGAGGGGACATCGACGGATAAATAAAAGCTCTATGCGGTCGGAGCTTAGCACGTCCGTATTTATTTTTTATCGTAGTGGGAAGAGGCGCGATGCTTAAGGGCTACAGTAGACATTGGTACAAAAATTCAATGCTGCTGCTACGTAGTGTGTATATATACGACATATTCTAAACGATTTTTATTTATTTATTTATTTATCTATTTTTTTATTAAAGGAGTGACGAGAATCACGTTCACGTTCTAATATATTACTTGTCTACGAGAAACATACGACGTAGACAAGTATTGCCTATCGTTGGATTTTTCTGACCGGAAGAGTTCACGTCACCCCTTCAATTCAATTATTAGCTTCATTTTCACCTATATATAACAGCTTTTTCTCCATTTAAAATGCGTCATTAGACCAACGCAATTTTTTCTTCTTTTTCATTTGTGTAAACAGCGTCAATCTAACGAATGCCAATCGTTATTTATTTGTATAATTTGTTCTGATGGGTTACAGGTTAAGTTTTTTTTATATATATCAGACAATAATAATTTGGTTTTTCTTTATGTTTCTCGTCTGCGAGACTTTGCGGTTGGCAGATAAATTAGTCGGTATGTCTGTAACGAGTTACACCTAAAACGCGATGAGTAGAGTGCCCACGAGTACACAAGCGTGTGACCGTCCGGTGCTAACGTCTTTCATATTTCTTTAGATTATTTGTTGGTGTTTCTTGTTTTGTCTGTGCACTTTTATTGATTTGTCGTAAAACTTACGGATTTCATTTATACTTTCTATTGTTCTATTTTTAGTCTAAGAAAATTCTTGAATGTAAGTAAAATTTACTGATATGAAATCTGATATTATTTAAAATCTACAAATCTGAGTAGAATAAATGCAAATGTATCTATAAGGTGCAGAAGTAGAACGTTAATACCTTGTGCGTGATGTTTTATTTCCATTGGAACAACGTGACTATCGTTAAGTAGAATTCAATTTGTTCCTCGTGCAAGAAGTATTCGGATGAGAAATTCTTTTTGAGAAAAGTCTTTTTAGTCTAGCAGTATTTATGTCCTGATATTGCTATCGCAAACATCCAAAAATCCTGCAGTGGTTTAATCGAACTTAATACGTGATCAGTTAGCACAGGCGGTCAGACAGCCACAAATTTTTCTTATTTTTTTTTCATAAAATACGCCTTATTCATGAGCTTTAAAAGCCCTTACGATCCAAAAGTTACACCATAATGTTTAGGTTTCATAAATGTAACACATACTGCATATAATAATTAACGTATGTATACTTATATGCTATCTATTTACAGACAATCACACGACTCGCAAGTTATTTTATACCCTCTTGTCATTCGTCTAGTTTACTCGTCCCTGTGCTACTGCGACTTTTCTCATGTTTATTGTTTTAGCATTTTTCTGATTCCTCTTTTTTCTTTATAACTGGGTCTTTTAAAATTTTCCACTTCACCCCCTTAAATTACGCGTTATACGTTCTTCTGTTCTCTTTCAAACAGTCATTTCTTTTAGATTATTCATCCTCTAACACTGGAGAGCTGAAACCCGTTCAATTTTCCTACAATTCCCTTCTTTCAAATGTAGAGAACGCTCAGTACGAACTTTGTACTTCTTTCCATGTGTATACATATATCTTGTAAAACACCTCAATAATATAACAAAGTTTTGATAAAGATTTATCCAAAGTATTTCGCCGATCAATAAAGTTCACTTCATAGTTTTCATATTTCTTTCTTCTCAAAAGAAACGAAGCATTTTATGAAATACTTGCAGTTTCACAAGTTTTTTCTAAGACAATCTATTACTCAAAGTTTTCGAGAAACAACTTTGGAAAGTAGTTCAGTGAACTTTTCACGACGAGCTTACATTTTGTTTACCTTTTTTTATTTTTTGGGAGGACGATAACAAAATATCAATATATCATATACATTTGAATAATCCATATATTCGCATTCATCGAACGAGTTTCAATTCTTGTTTGGAGGATTTGGACGAATTTTTTCTCCTAACCACTTTTACCTTCATTCCATCGTATAGTAACAATAAAATACTACCTCGAATTTTGACCTAAAAAATCTAATGCACGTAATATTTTTCGTTTTACCAAACTCTCAAATTGAGTAGAGTAATCGACCGCGACACGATCGCATGAATAACCGTATCGCTATCGAATCGAATACCATCGAGTTAGCATTTATCGAGATGAGTTCGAGTATTTTTTTTACAAAAACGAGAAAACATAAAATACAGCTTCAATATTTTATAATATCACATCTCTATATCACGTAAACAATCGTTTTACGTTGTTTTTCGCGAAAAAGACATATATCAGGCCAATTGCGAAATCTCAAAATAAACCATTCGTTCGATTCTCACGAAGCTCTCTTTTTTCTGAAAGAGCGCCACTATCCATGCCAAAATCGCCGAGTCTTAAAGAATCGCGACGTCGCGTCGTCTGGGCGTCGTCGCTTAATTGCAAAATCGATTTCGCCAAGTTATACGTGCATACATTAGCCGTCGAAAATCCGGTCGGCGTCAATCACGCCGTCTCGATCTCACCTCGCTACCGCGATTAGCAGTAGCGAGAAAAGCCGAAAAGAAGCGGCACACCTGGGATAATCGTCCGAATATGAAGTCTCGTTATCGCGAGCAAATCCATCGCCCGTAAATCAACGTTTATTTACCGCGAGCAATTTGCGGTGGTGAGAAAGCGAGTGAGTTTAAGCGTCGATAAGAAAGCAAACGAGGAGAGGTAGTAGATTGCTGGATGAGGGAACAAAAAAAAAAAAAAATCGACGATGACCCGTTTTTTAGAGCGCCGCAGCTATGCTATATCTCATTGATTAGTGAGCGCGACCAGAGGCGTCGTCGACTGCGAGATTGTCCGAGTAAATGAAGGTGCCCGAGGATTTTAATGGAGTAAAAGCTCAGTTTTTTTTTTCTGTTCATTTGCGCGTACTCGCGCGCCCGCAATTAGAACTGAAGATCCGAGAGCTTTGAAGTTCCGTAGCTGATTTTTCTATCAATTTAACCAAGTGTTGATGACCACTCACCAAGATTGGAAAGGTTTTTTTGTCGTATTACTAGGTTTGGAAAATTTCTGGAATGTGAGTACGGCAGATTGGATTCTATGAAATGCAAATTGAAAAGAGAACTTTGATTTTCTTCAGCGTCGAAGTGCTTTTGGACTTTTCGATTCTACAAATTTTTTCTTATTTTTGACAGTGGAATTTCATTTTCCAGTTCGGATTCAAAAAGAGTTTGTTTTTATATTACATTTTCATACCCATTCGCAACAGTCCACCTGCAACGAGTTTCATTTAAAGCCCTTTACGAGCCACCCACGCGCAAAGGAAAAAAAAAGGAAGAAAGTAGCGAGGGTAAACGAAACGCAGGCCACCGCGAATCGGAATTTCGAGCTAACGACAATAACGGCCGGATGTAGAAGTCTCGAGATGAAGATTACTTTAGCGCAGCGATAACCCCACCCGCAACTTCTCTCTCTCTCTCTCGCACTCGAGATATCGAGAGTTTAAATTGATCGTCGCGGAGCGAAAATTCGTGTTTCCCGTCACGGACGCACAGCCGGGCGCGAATTTCGATTAGAGTTTTCACGAGAAAGGGAGAGATGGTGACAAGATAGTTTAGAGCACCCTGAGAATCCACAAAAGAAGATATAAAAACAGAAGGCGGAACATTCGCCACACATAATAATACGCAATATCGGACGTTTGCTTTTCTTCGCACAGCGTATCCAAAGTATTCCGGAAGATTCCCATCTTCGCGGGACACTAAGTGTTCTATTTTTCTTATTTCCCTCATTACTCTCTAACTCGCGCGTGCACTGGAAAGATTACGTTGTCAGTGGGAGGGTTGGCTTGATCGGTGAAACGTGACTCCGGGAAGCGAAACCAGAATGCGAGAGGAAAACTCTTAAATATCTTAAATACGTGCGTTTTCTCTCGTTGACACACAAGTTTCGGCGCGTCGCTCGCTCGGTAAGTTTCAGTCCCAGTACGAACATTTCGAACGGTAGCCAAAATCCAGCCGCTCTCTCTCTCTCTCTCTCTGGCCCTCGGCCAAAGTGCGCGTAACCGACTTATATAAGCGCGCGCGGTAGTCATATTTCACCGAGCAACACCACGCACACCAACTTCCTCTAAATCACTCGACATGTAGTCGAGCGTGAAGCGACTCTAAAAGAGCGAATTCGGTCGACATATTATTTTTTCTCTCTCTCGCTCTGCTCTTCTTCCTTTGTTTTATTACCTCCTGAAAGAAAATACAACCGAGCTTCTTTTTTATCTTTCAGAGGTCGGTGCTACTTTCTTCGGACACGTCGAGCGAATCGTCAGCTCTTTGTGTCGCTTCTGTGGGAGCAATTTAAACTTTTATGATCGTAAATTTTCTATGCATTGCGGAGATTGTTCTCATAAAAAAAATATATATACACGTCGCAAGGCTTCTTCGGCAATTATAGTATACTTTAACACTTTAATACAGGCAGTTGAACATCCTGTAATTTATTTACGAGCGTGTAATCGTGAAGCATGCCGGAATAATTCAAAATTAATGGTGCGCAAAACGTATTCAAAATCGAAAGACGTACAGGATGCATTTCAGTAAAGTCACGTTAAATCGTACACTTTGAATAGCATTATTGAAAGCAACACAGTTTATCGAGCATTACTGTAAGTATGTTGAACATATTGGCCAGCCGTCGTCTTTCCAATACATAATATCCAATGTTTATGATGAACGAATTGACGAGTAATTGTTCGAATTATAACGTGGTCGTATCCAGGCAAGTACAAAGAGTCGCAAAGTACGACAATTCTCCGTGAAAAGTTACGATCATCGACGCTACAAAATAAACATCTCATCCAGTGCACGCTAAGACGATTGGACTCTCGATAGCCAATCGCGATATTCAGGGGGGGGGGGCGATTCCTCGCACGTACATAATTTCTGGCAGTGTCGTTTATTTATAAGTATGTATAAATGCTCGTGGTACGCGCGTCACTTTGCCACGTGTGCGCACGCGCGCACATCTCGTTCTGCTACACTGTCCGTCTTGAGGGGAAGGATTCATCGTGGCCAAGCCAGATGGTAGTGGCCGCCGCTAGCGGGCAGATAGCTTTGGGTTGCAGCGACCGCGAGGCCTACCAACAGCAGACCGCAGACTCGGCCGCGATCGTACTCGCTCGTCGCCGCCGTCAGGCTCAGCGCCCCAGCGAACCAGCACAGGAAACGACAGCAACCTGGCATTGAGCTTATGCCACGCTGGATTGCTGCTGGATATTCCCCTGTAGACAGAACCAACATCATTTTTTGGCTAACGTTGAACGATTTTACGGTAAATCTAGACTGCGTTGGCTAATTAGTAAGGATTTATGGTTTATTTAATTAACTAATTTATAGTATCATAATATTAGTTTTCTATATTTGTCACTGTGTTTAAATTAACAAATAATATGTTGTCGTGTCTCGTAGATATGTTCGGAAACGATTCTCAGAAAGTTTCCTATGATACTTTGAATTCCAAAGATATTTATTAGTTTCAAGCAAAATATATTTTAACAAGTTTAAAACGCCACCTACGCGGAAATTAGTAAACGTTCTTCGAAGAACGTACGTGAAGTTTTTGATTTTCTTGAACTTCTTCAGAGCTTAATTTCTTCATATCTTAATTTACCTTCATAGCTTCATACCTTAATTTAGTTTTTCCGCATACTAAATTAAAGATTTTATTTTTCTCTATATTTATATTCAAGCTTCAGATATAAAAAATTTGTAAGATTTTTAAGAGCAACGAAATAGTATTTGAAACACTGCCAACTTCTAATAACTGTAACGTCAAGCATATTGAAGTTACAGTCATTATTAGACTATGACCGTTCACTCAAATCAATGCGCTACAATTAAAAATGAGTCTTTAATTTGATTTATTAGTTTTTAATTGCTAAGAAAAAAGAGATGATTATAATCTGATTAGAATTATCTAATATATTCGATTACTCTGTATATTGAAGATTGATCTCCGGCTGAAATTGACATTTACAATCAGTTTCTCAATCTAGAGCGAATATCGAAGGTTCTATGAAGATTATAACAATAAGTGATTGTAACATCGGTTAATTAAATAAAGGACAGATATAACTAATATAATTACTTGAAGATTGAATCAAGTCAATTAAGGCAATTCATAAGATCATATTTTTGAGTTAAACATTTTGAAAATATCGATGTTTTTATATTGACAACAAATTAAAAATTGTTATTTGAGTACAAATAACATAACATCGGTCAATGAAAATATTTTATTAGTAATAAGAAATTTCAATCAGTAAACTGAATTAATGCTTTTCGTACGAACGCAAACCAAAAGCACTTACTATACTAAATGAAAATGTTTCGTTTCGAGTGCAACTCTTAATTAACGAATTCAATACAGCTTTTCAATGCGTTGCTCCCATTGAAGTGTATTGAACTGAAAATGTAATATTTTTGCCAACAGGGCGTGAACAAGGCTAAATGAATTATTTTTTGATATACGCTTCTCGTTAAAAGACCCGTTAAAAGCAATTTCGTTGTTTAAAATTGACGTAATGTACATTTGAAGACTTGTTGGCGTTGCTGTAAATTGAGTTTACTTTCGCTTAATAATATCAGCAAAAGGAAGCTCATACGCACCATTGAGAACGTGCAGTTGAATGCTAGCAGTGTCGAGGTTGCTCGGCCGACAGGTGTAGTTGCCAGAATCCTCGGGGCCAGCGTTTCGAATGGTAAGATTGCTGGAGGTATCATTACTGCCTTCGATCAGTCGTGTCTGTATGCTCATCTTGCCTTTACGCTCCTGCAGCTGCCGTTCATGATGATACCAGAACACGTAGAACGGTACCTCCAATGAGTGCTTGATTAAACACTGCAATACTACCATGCTGCCAATCTTCACATATCTATCTTTGTCACCTAGTATCTCGATCTTTGGCACTGCGCGATAACCAATTTGTTTTGATTTATTATTTTCAATCTTGTTTTTACCGAACATTTTTCGGAGAATTGCTTTTCTTTTACATATCATACACACATATACATACACATATCGTGATTTTTACCATCTATTTGACTACTGTGCTGCGCGTCCAAGTCAGAAATAAAGATGTATTCTTTTTAAAAATTATTAGCTACAAAAGTATAGATGTATAAAATACCGCTTAAGTTCTAATAAAACACCAAATCCAACAAAGAATCTCATATAAAATTAAGGTTAAGTACTGTATGCTTCATGTCTGACTGAATCTCGACTTTAACTACTTGACATAAAACATTCCGTTACCCGCAATTACCGAGAAAGAAGTACTTATGAATGAAAAGAAAGAAGAGGAAATAAAATTAAGGTCAAGATGGAAGCCAAACAAGATAAGCAAGTAGTATCAGTCAACGATACGTACCGACGACGACGAGCTTAACCGTATGGCTGAGCTTAGGCTCCGTCGATATCTGGCACTCGTATTCACCTTCGTCCCGTTCTTGTGCATATTTGATTAATAGTGACCATGTGTTGGTTGACTCGAAGTAGAGAGATTGAAACCTATCGTCGGCGATGAACACTACCCTGTCCACCGCCAATATGTGAGCGTCTCTCGTTCGTACCCATGATACCTTGGAAGTTTGAGCAATAGATTTTCATTAGCTTCTCCAATGATCGTGGCAATAATCACGGAATAATAATTTATGGAATAACAACGTTTACATGACATTTTTTCTATTTATTTAGAAAAGAGCAGTTTCGTATCCCCAAGCGAAAATTTTCTTTGAAAAAAAGAGCTGACAATAGAGTAGTAGTCACAATGAAAACGCTCTTTTAGTGTGAAAACGTACGTGTAGCTTTTAAAAAGCACAAAAACGCAAACATCTTACCAACTCACAAAGAAATTTCAGTACTCTGCGCAATGTTTATTGTTCTTTGAAAGCGTCAAACAAAAGCACGTTAACGTACATGTAACTGACTAAACGTCGATAGAATTCAATTGCAGAGAAAAACTCGCTGTTGCAATTAGGTGAGCGATATGCGACGAAATTACCGAGCTTTTTAATTAACGATATATAGTGTTTTGTAGATGCTATCTAATTATGTTGATACACAGGCTAAATGGCAATCGCGTTGATAATTGCAATGACTCGCCACGATTAATTGGAGTGCACTTAATCCAATTGTATAAAGTTGTGGATGCTGGCAATCTAAAAGCTTTTTGTCCTCTTATGCACCTGTACGTCCGAAATATTTAAACACGCGAAAGTTACAGTGACATTAGCTATATAGGCGCAAGCACGTGGTCCTCTCGAAAAGTATGAACTGCAATTAATGAACGACAAACTTTGATGGCATTTCACTCGAGAGCAGCTTGAAGCACCTCTTATGAAGTTGTAACTATTTCAATTTGAAGCATCCGCGTTATCGCGCGCGCGCGACATATGTGAACACACACTTAAATATACGTCCCCGCGTAAAACTCATTCGTGCGAGAAAAATAATTTATAAACGCTTCATTTCCTTCTTTACCCTTTTATATTTATTATGTTGGGAGCGACGTGAAAATTCGGACGAGTTCCTCAATAAACTAATAAACAGCTCGATTCATTCACGTAAATGAGCTGCGAGGAGGGCAAGACGAAGAAGAAAAAGAAAATTTTTTACTCACTCTCGTGCGCGTACGATAACGAATTCAAATCCCGTGCCAGCAAAGTCGAGCACGGCTTTCATAAAAATAATTGCCATGCCAGCGCGCGCAAGACTGATGTTATAGAGAGATATGAAATAGACGGGGTCGTGACTAGCAAAGAGTTTTCGCTGGCTGAAAGTTCGAAGCGGGCGGACGCGCGCGAACTATTTAATTTATTCAAATGCGGTTACTCGTGAATTGGCGATTTCAGTAACTCGATTTCACACTGTTCTCCAGCTACAATCTTCATTATTATTTTAAAGTTGAAATTATGGTAATTATCTGCGCGCGCGCGCGGGAGAGCTGGCGAACTATAAAAGCCAGATTGTAATGTTACATTTACATTTCGCTGCCTGGATTCACTTAGCATCTGCTTAAGTTGTTGTGTTTTATTTACTGACAAAATGATATTTTGCAAATTCGCTCGTATTTATGGGCACCGTGTCACGTTTTCCTCTGCGACATTGGATTTGCACTTGCTTTTTAAATATTTTACATGTCAAACATACAAATCATATGAATGACTTCAATACATTACGACACGTGATATAATACGTTTCTAATAAAAATGAAATTTATTCGATCATAAAATTATTCATGAACGTACATTAATTTCAATAATGCCTTCTACGAAATTATTTGAACGGAAGTACGCATGATGCCGTTAAATGTGCTTCTTTTTTTACCAACAACACGCAAATTTCACGAATACATATCCCGGAAAATTTTGCATTAAAAAAAGTCATATTAATACGAACGAAAGAAACTCAATGAACAGAATAATATGCAACGCGCAAAGAAGGAAAGATAATGAAAGCTGTACATGAAAGAACGACAGTTAAATAAAAATTCGAAGAATACCTTGACAAAGGGTGCAATGAGAATAAAAAGGAAACAGCATCGGCGGCGGCGGCGTCGGCGGCAGCAGCGCGAAAAACAATAAATCGCCGAGTTATTTTACTTAGATTGCGAACGCGCAAAGCTTTCTCTGAGATGAGCGCGCGAGTATTATTTTTCACCATTAACCAGGTACAAAACAAGGCCTATAAGAAGCAAGAGCTTTTCGCTTCCTGGCATATCTTAAATTAGGCACTGCTATACGTGCGCGCGAGATGTGTGACTGTGCGAAAAATTTTTTACGAAGTAGTAAAACTGCCGTGGGAAGTTACTCTGATTAATTTGTTACGCTGAAATTGGATTTCATTTTGAAAAGTGCCGCGAGAGCGAAATGAAAATGAGTCGGACGGATGAGTTTTGGACTTTTAGCATATTTCGCAGCATCGCGCTCGGAAGAAATTGCTCCTCTGAAAAAAGAGTGCAATATCGCTCTGACATATTCCTGGAAAATAGTCGGAAGTCGAGCCGTTTCTCAGCAATACTCGAATCGAACTTATATTACAGTGTGTCCACGAAGAAAGCCAATAGAAAAGCTTTGCATACGCCATGGCATTTGCGTAACTTCAAGCATTACGGCCTGCATCGAGACTTGATAAAGAACGGGCATTAAACCTCTCGTGCCGTAAAAGAAAAATAAGAATTTCTTCGATCCATTCACGAAGCAACGATTGCAAGACTTCAGCGTAAAAGCACAGCATAAAAGAAACAAAACTTACCGGTTTGTTACCGCTCTGTCGGATCCTGCAGGGTAGATAGGCGTGAGTGCCAAGTTGAACGGTGACGTTGGTCACGTTCTGCGTGTCGATGTAGGGCCCCGTGTAAAGGCCGCCGTATCGTTTCACTAACGAGTGCGATCTCGTGCTTACTCCTGCAACGTCAACAACAATCGCGAAAATCTTAATAAATTGTCGTGGTTCTCGTTGGCTCCGCGAGATATGACATTGAATGGGAACTGGAGCTGCGGGTGATCGGCGTCGTGTGGCCGTGTGATAAAACCTTAACCTAAGCTTAAACGACGCCTTGGCTAGGGAGAATGACGCGTTTGCGTGCGAGTTGCAGAAAACAACATTTGACAAGGATGTAATCTTGATTGAAAATAATAGACAGCCATGGGAATGCAATGAAGATGATATCGTACGAGTGTATGACAATTTTTCGGAATGATAAGACATTTGTTAATATATTTGTTCCAGGTCCACAACGATATCGAGCAAAGTATTAAATCCACGACCATCGACCAAGAAATATATGCGAATATAATTTTACGCTCTTGTAGCACGTAGCTTCTCGTTACCATGATTCCTTCGAAGCGACTTCCCGAAAGTCGCAAGTGATTTCTTTGTTTGTTCCGTGGAATAAACGAAAGCATAAGAGATTGAAGGGTCAAAACAGAGGTTCACGGCAACGAATGACGTGCAGCGCGTGTCCTCTCTGACGGATAGTCATTCAGGCCGCGATCGCTCGATCGATTCTACTTGCTCATGTGAACGAGCGCGCGTATCATTGAGTAAAAGTCGAATTTCGATCGCTGACGAACGAGGGCTGCTCGCAACCCAAGTTCGGAAATTCTAAAAATAGTTTTCCAATTCCTTCATAGTTATTGGAATCCATCAGCTGCGCTTAAGAGAGCGAAGGGCGCGCGTCTGCCGAGCCGGGCGCAAGGGCGAGTCGCATTGAAATATTCAAAGCGAGAGCTCTCGCGCGACGCGACACCGTACGAAAAGGGAGAATCCCGATGCGCGGCGCGTGGCATCGGATCAGATATGAAATAAGAGAATCCATTACGGCACGCGATGGAGCGGCCTGCAACAACGAGAAAATAATAAAATGCGCAGTCGCTTGTCCCCCCTCCTTCCTCTCGTCTCACGCGCTACCTCGCACTCCCTGTGTTCGAGGAAATAAATGAAATACGTCAGCGGCATTGCGAGTCGCGAGGAAAAAGGGAAGGTACCACCACGACAAATCGGCGCGGATGGCAAGACTATAGAATTTCAATAGCGTGTGAGAAAGAGAGAGAGAGAGAGCGACGTTCGATCCATACACGTACGGCAATATCCCACAAGTGTTTCTAATGTCTCGAGTCGCGCAAGCAACCAACTGATACGCGCCTACTCGCGAATCGCTCGATATATTTTTTCGAGCATAGCGCGCCGCGCCGACGATACGCCGAATATTTCATACAAAGTGGGCATTTTTAAAATGCAACTCGAGCTCTGCCAACTTGGAAATTTTGCCGTTTTGAATTGTTTCTATCGTCTCGAATAAAGTTGCCGTAGGTATGTTTTTCTGGCATTTGAAATATTTTACTTATCTATATACTAGAAAATAACTCAGTTTTACATATTGTTGCAGAGAAAGGTAGTGGCACAGTATTTTTATTTTTACTTGCGCTCGTTCAATGGGATTTGAACGTCCAAAAATGGTGAACTGACCTGTTTTCATACAATAAATAAAATCTAGAAGCAAAGCTTACGTTGCTTCAGACTAGGACTCTTCGTCTTACGAGCTTTTTCTAAGGAAAACATAGTGATCCATAACTTAGTTTATTTACTTTGTTCTTCAACTAAAATTGCGGAGTATTATTTCAATAGAGCGAAGAAAGTTATTATAATTCGCCTCGTCAGTAAGATTTTATTCCTCGAATAAAAAAACTACGATAAAGACCATTTCAGAGTCATAAACTTTTTACCTGCAAATACACTTTTTATTGCAGATAAAATGCTCAAGATTCGAATCAAAAGTTTCATATTACCGAAATGAACCAAAAATTAGCTTGTCTACAAAATGGCACGCGAAATACAAAGGAGTTAAAAGCTTTCGAAATAGTGTACGTGAAATAAGTGTTTGCTGATCGATAATGTACTTGAACAATGGAAAACTTCAAACAATCACCGAGCGTATGTATATTGTAAACTCGAGTATCCATTATACAAACAGAGAGACGGCGCCATGCGCAAGCCACTCGAAGTACAAAAAGCTTCGCGAGTGCACAAAGGATAACCAAACTCTCAAAGCCAACAAAACGTCGCTCTATAGCTAATCTATCGCGTGTGTAATTGCGTGCAAGCTCTCTTGCGAGCAATGCTTTAATCATACTGCGGTTGGTGCAAGTGCTTCGATAAGACGAGCATACATGAGCCAATGGTAAAGTGAAAATAATCATTAACTTGGAAGCTATTTTTTGTAAAATTTTAAACAATAACGTTTGATTGATAATCTGAAAGTATAATATTATCTGACTGATAATGACGATTATCATTGATTTCTCTTTATTTTTAAATTGGAGTGAATTGAACTAATTCCAATTTTCAATTTGCTGATAATCACATTATGAGCAACGTATTAATTACATTTCTAGGTTGCTTCACGTATTAACGACTGGAACCCAGGATAATACCTGATTAAACTCGATTGTTTACTACAAACAGCTGCTTTTTGCAACTGAAGGACAGTTAATTGCTCTCTCTCTCTCATTATCACGAACATCGATGTCGAAAACAACGCTGTCATGCATCAGTTACTCGGTGCTGCGAAAACTCATTTATTGCGACTCTACGTCGCACCAGCAAGGCTTTTTGATAAAAGCGATAAAGCTGTCGCTCAAAAAATTTTCGCTCACATAACAAGTTTAGCTCGATCATCGAAGCACACGTGCGTTCCAGCGAACGAAGTCGAGAGAACCCGATAAAATAGTTCGCGGTCGTGTACTCGTAAAAAGAACGCGCGAGCGAAAAGAAAATAAAAAAAAAGAAACACGGCCGTTTAATTAAAGAACAGGCACTTTTAATTTAGCCTGGCTTCTCTCGGCCAATGAAAAAGTTGGCGAAAGGCGCAATGCCTATGCTGAAATCGTTAGAGGCCCAAAAGAGGAAAGAGTGGGGGGGGGGGGAGGATAACGGGGCGCTGCGTCGTGAATGCGAGGGAAACAGAAATAATCAGCTTGAAAAGTTTGCTCAGCGCTCGGCGTCTGTGCCACGCGCGCCAAGCTGAGATTTTAATGTGCATACTTTTTCACTCGGATTTCGTTTCATAGATTTGCGAAAGGCCGGAGGAAGAATCTACTCGACGATTAAACTAACTATTCGCATGAGTATAAGTAGCTTTATGAGCTGTCGTGCTTTATGGCACACAGCTCGGATGTGAATTATTCTTAATTTGTAAAGCTGCTTTCGGCTTAACTGCTTTAAGAGGATTACGTTTGTGTAGCCTGATTTAGCACGAAGTTCGATGGTTTTTCGAGTACGTTAATGTGAATCGCGATTGAGTAAACCGTGATAATATCGCATACACGCACACTGTCAGCCGAAACGTAAGTTAATTCCAGTGATAATCCGAGAACAAAATTCTCCTTATACCGAAACCTACACGAGAGAATCGTATGAAAATTCGAATATCTAGCGTAGTCAAAGAGGTTGATTAACGGAGTTAAATCAAGTAGTGTTTAAACGTACATTCGCACTGGCAAGGAAGGATTGGCCTGTACAACGGTTGCTCATTAGCACTGTAGTATTGCTGTTCCACGTGCTACAGCTAATTGACATTAGCCAGTCCCAGCTCTCTCTCTCTCTCTCTCTCTCTCACGATCGGCAGTACAATGGAAACAATTTGCGTTATCAATAAACTCTACGTGTGATATCAATAAATCACTCAAGATATATAGAACAGAAAACTTGATTTACGTGTCATCGTCGTCGTCGTTGTCGGTGCGGCAACTCTTTCACTAATTGACCTGACGTTCTTTTTCGGCGCGAATGCAACACTGCTAACAATTGGATTTAAGCACTCTCCTGTTATTGTTGTTTTGACTCTACGATAACAAAAGAAAACCTAATGATGCTCGCTGCCAATGGATTTATCGTTGCTATTGTTGAGAGCTGAGAATTTTAGTTTTCTCTCACAATTGTAGTATTGCGATAATTCGAATTTCAGTTATGCTAAGTACGGAATATAGGTTTGCAAAAAAGTTATAAATATCTTAAATCTTCCGAATGAACAAACTCACTTTACAATATTATGCTGAACACGGGACTAATTGGTCTGCCGAAAAACATTCACAAACAAAAGTCAGCCAACTGTGAACAGCGCAATTAAAGCATAAACAACAGCAATAGCGGCAGAAAGCAGGAGCAACTTTGGACACTTGAAAAAGCTTGAACGAACATTTTCAGTTGTTACGAAAAGTGACTATAAATAGCGGCGACGTGACGACGGGTTGCTTTAAAAAAAACCCCTATAAACGAGAAAGCACTTAACCCACCCTAGTGAACAGCTCGCAACCGAAAAGTTAATCCGCCTCTCAAACAAGTCGAGAAAGCTCTCGAGCCTCGCGCGTACACACACAGCGTACAACAAACGCTCAAGAATCAAGTGGAACGGCATGTAATCCTCGCGCACACTGGCACTGGCGATCGTACTCTTTCTTTTTACCTCGTTCACTCTGTGTGATAATGACTAACGAACAAAAGCTCATATCCAGATGAATATATTCTCGGGGATTTATGCGCGAAATGAATACATGAAAAGAGGGAGAGAGAGAACGGACCTTGAGTGAGAAAGATTCGAGCAGAAATATCATCCGATTCATCTTCGCTCTTTCGTTTTTACTCATAGGATAAAGTTATCTTGAAAATCGTAGCTCAAGTAGGTTGATATATAACTGTTCTTCACTACTGCGAGTTGAATGTTTAAACGACGTAATCATGGATAAAGAATTTTTCTGAAATTTTTAATTTTAAAGATCAATTTTTTTTTACAGCACATAAAATACGAAGAACGAGATGGTTCTATATAAAATGTTGAAAGATAGAAGTTTTTAATTGTTAGTAACTTGTGACAAGACGTTCGACATTGTGGATTTAATCTTTTTGT